TATTTCCCTCGCCTATACAGTCGATGTGGTTGGTGAGAGCATCAAAAATATCATTTCAGCACTCTGTCAAGGAAGTTGGCTTCGGGGAATTCTTCCGTTTCATACTTACGAATCGCAGACTCCCCAGGAGCTTGAGCTTCTAACCACCCAGATTAACTTTAGCCTTCCCTGATAACAAACTGTTTCCGTGTCTTCCACAATGCCATGGCTTGCGTTCCCAAAGAAGACACTCAAGTGACAGGATGAATTACTTACCTGCAAACGACGCTAGTAGAAGGCTGCATTCGCAGACTGAGACGACACCTTTTCATCTCATGTTCTACTCTTGCTGCTGCTGTAGTCCTGCCTTCCACTCTCGAGGTGGTGTTCAATCTAGTGCCACCGAACTGGCACTGCAAGAGACGCAATAAGTGTCTCTCCGTGGTTCCAATTCCTCACGCATCTTTCTTGCTTCACTCGTACCACCACGCCCTTCCTCACTCTTGCAAGTGCAACTTCCATGTGCCATTACCTGCACTCATACTCTGCCTCAATTGATGTCTCAACAACAAACCTGCAATGAGTCCATTGTTAAACGGGTAGGGCATAGCCATAACTTCCCAAGCTCCACCTAAAATCAGGTCATGGTCAGTAACTTCGTGTTGCATTTCCAATTGTTGGAGTCACCGTACTCGTGTGTGGTAGTGTAACTGTCCACTGTTTTCACAATTTCTCCCACTCCAACTCCTACTTCCCAACCCACAAGCGACTGCTACCACTGAGCATTCTGCTGTCCTCACCATATCAGTTATAACATTCTTGGCTAATGTGACCGACACTTTTCTTGCCATTGCGAAGGAATCACGGACGACGACACCGAGCCACCGACGCCCTTTTACCAGACCATTGTGGGACCTCGCTTCATTCGACTCAAGTGGGAGCCACAAATTCTGCATGAACTCTCCAACCCAGATGTGTTTATTATCACCTACCCTTTTAATCACACTGACTCCCCGAGGGGCAAAGTTGGGATACTCAATGACGGAGAAATCACTCTTGACGATCTGACACCCAACTCAGCATACAAAGTGGCTGTGATGGTGGGACAAAATGGACAGCCATTTATGTATTTCACCATGCCCATTGTAACCACGAGTACAGGTAAGCCATACCGTGTGATCATTCTGTGAGGCTGCAGGCCACAAAATTGTGTTTTACGGACTCCATTTGAAGGCACTGCTGTTATTGGCGATTGACAGTGGGCTAAAAGAGGTGCAGATTTTGTAGCTTTTGCATGACTCGATGGCGATTCCCCTCACTTTCCTTCACTCGTCATTACTCGTGGCTTGCGCCCCATTGCCTCCGCCCACTAATGCCCTAGAAACAATAGTAATATTCATCATTGACAATCTTAACGAGACATTAGTCGAAGACGATGAGCTGCACGAGCCCTTCTACTAGGCCATTGCGCTCCATCCTACGACTTCCTCGGAGTCGGACTCCGTAATCTTTCATGGCTACTTGGACGCAGTAGTAACGACCACACGAGAGAACCTCGTTAGTGGTCGAACGAGGTGGGAGGAATGCACATTTTGTTCTCCCGTCTTTCGCCAGTCCTGCCAGTCCTGTTGTAACCATACCACTTGGGTGTCACTTTACGCAGGTTTTCCGTAGGCAGAGGTTGAGCAGTCGCAAACAATCCACTCATCATCAGCTATTTTAGCACCAACTTCGACGTAGTTGGTGAGAGCACAAATATCACTGAAACGCCGTGTTCAGGCAATAGACCCCAAATAACCACCTTGCACTGTGCTTGCGAGAAAGCCAACTTTCCACCTCCCACACTGCACATCGGTCTTCGTACCCTCATCATTGCCAGGCATCACAACTCAGGGAAATCTCAATCACGGATTGCAACCGAATACATCTCTTACTGACAAGCCAAAGTTTTGCACGGATGTATTGGAGGGCAGAGGCAGCGCCACTGCAACACAAGTTCGCCCCTTGCATCCACAACAATCCTGTCTTTCGCCTTTCACTCAGGCGTCATTTTACTCACGTTTACGCGATCCGACCAACCACTGTGTGTTAAATTGATCAGGGCGGTGTCACTGCACCACACCGGCACTTCATGCGACGTAATAATTATCCCGGTCGTGGTTGTAATTCCGCACTCATCGTAGCATCGCCCCTTTTGCATGCTTGCATGTGAGAATTGTGCGTGTGTCGCAACAGCCAACCTGCAAATAGCTAACCACTTAAGCAGTGGATATTGCAAAGGGTAGCTCAGGATCAGATTGAGATGTGCGCCTTTGCAATACACAGTCTTAGTCTTTAGTCAACCACACTAACTTGTGACAGTGGGAATGGTAGCCTCCTCACTTTCTCCCACTCATACCTCATTGTTTCTGCTTATTGCATAGAAGCGATGCACATGCTTCGTACTTTGCACTGTGTGGATGCACGGGAAGTGCACTTCACATGGGATCCGAATGGCATGGGAGTGTTCGTAGCACAACCCGCAATCTGCACAGTGTCCATCTCCGACTCCAACTTCTCAGTGTCCCCACCTGCGTCTTGACAGACTTACACCCAACACTCTACGCACACTCACTTTGGCAGTTCCCTATTCAAACACGAGGCGCAGGCCATCTAGGTCGCTTGATTG